TGATAATGATGAAGATGATGATGATGATGGTGGTGGTGGTGGTGGTGGTGGTGGTGGTGGTGATAATGATGATGATGATAATGATGAAGATGATTATGATGATGGTGGTGTTGGTGATAATGATGATGATAGCTAACATTTATATAGTGCTATGTGCCAGGCACTGTGCTCAGTAAGTTCTTTGCAAGTACTATCTCATTTGATCCTCACAACAACCTTGGGAGGCAGGGACTGTTATTATCCCCATTTTACAGATGAGGAAACTGAGGCAGAGATTAAGTGACTTACTTAGGGTCACATAGCTGGTAAGTATCTGAGGCTGGACTTGAATTTAGGTTTTCCTGATTCCACACCCAGCGCTCTGATCCACTACACCACATAGCTTCCCCAACTGCCCTTTCTCAGTCTTCATCCCCAGAGACCTTTCTCTAGTATCAGGCACTTTGACCACTCCATAATTGAAATGTACCCCCTTCTCACCACCTTTTAAAATCCCTACTTTCCTTCAAACCTCAGCTCAACCACCATGAAACATTTTCTGAACCTGTTAACTATTAATGCTTTCCCCCCCTAAAATAAGTAATCTATTTTGTGTGTATTTTACATACATGTTATCTCCCCTATACATGTTATCTCCCCCTATAGAAAGTGAGCTTGTTGAGGACAGAGATAGTTTTACTTTTATCTGAGTCCCCAGAACCCAGAACAGTGGGTGGTACATAATTGGTTCTTAATAAATACTTTCCAGTTTATTGTTGATTAGAGCATTTGATACTTTCTCTTCAGGTACCAATGCTCTTAGCACAATGCCTGACCCATAGGAGGCATTACACAATTCTTATTCCCTTCCCCTACTCCACTCACCTTATAGTTAGCACTGTAGTTATAGAAGCAGTCAGCATGGTGGCTGAGCTCCCACGGCCAGTCGGTAGAGTGTTGGATGAAAGCAGAGAGGCCCCTTTAGATGTGCCACTGACAAACCAGTTTGCAGGGATGACATTGCCATGGGGTCTTTAAGGAAAATGAAGAGTTGGGCAAGGCTGGCCAAATTTGGTCCCCTTAAGTTTGGATTGTTTACAGAGTATGTATGGCCTCGATGAGATTCTGTGACTTGGGAAGGACACCATTGAATTCACAAGGAGACCTTTTCCCTAACATGGGTTTGTCTTTTTTCTCGATGCTATAACTGTCAAGAAAGCAATTGGGGAAGAGTAGAAACAGCCATACATGGACCCCCTTGATATCTTGTACTTGGCAATGCTTGGTATAACCCTCCAAGAAACAAAGGGGGGGGGGCTATACTCTGATTAAGATTGGAACTGAGGAAAAGGACTTTCAGAAACTGCTTCAGCTGTATTTCTGATCTGGCACTTTTTTCTGAAAGTATCACATCACTCTAAGGCAGAAATTCTTAGTGTGTGTGTGTGTGTGTGTGTGTGTGTGTGTGTGTGTGTGTGTAATGGAATCACTTTGGCAATCTAGTGAACCTTAGAGACTCACATCTCAGAATAATGTCTTAAAAACCCAGATTATGAAGGTAACTAATTACATTGAAATGTAATGATCAAAAATATATATTTTTTTTAATTTCATGGATCCTTGCCCTAAGGGGAGATTTTAGAGTCCACACTTAATACCTTTGTTTCTGAAGCACCATCTTCTCTGGTCTCTCCTTACACATCTAACTTCTACCTTCTCCTTTTTCTAATGTCTTAGAGTGGGGGTCGCCTTAGATTCTGCCCTTAGCCTTCTGATCTGTCTTTAGTCTCTTCTGTTCCCACAACTATCATATCTAGAATTATAGCTCCCAACACCTATGTCTATAAACCAAAAGATAACCCTGTGGAATATATATACACATTTTTTTATCTTTCTCTTCATTTATAACTTCAAAAATCACCGCCCCCCACCCTCTCCTATTTCCAGTAGCCTCCTCAGTATCTTTACCATTACAATAGCTAGTAACTGCTAGCATATTGTGTTTTGCTGTTCACAAAAAGCTTTACAATATTAACTCATTTGATCTCACATCAACCCTGGGAGGCAGGTGCAATTTTGATGCCCATTTTACAAATGAGGAAACTGAGCAAACAGACCCTTGCCTAGGACCACACAGCTAGTTATTGCCTGAAGCTGGATTGAAATTTAGGTCTTCTGACTCTAGTATACTCTCCCTTGTTCTACCTCACTGCCTCCATCTCAAACTCAACCATTCTGAAACAGTTTATTTTCCTCTGTTGTTGTTGTTCAGTCATGTCTGACTCTTCATGACCCCATTTGGGTTTTCTTGGCAAAGATACTAGAGCGGTTTGCCATTTCCTTCTCTAATTCGTTTTACAGATGAGGAAACCTAGGCAAACAGGGTGAAGGGACTTGCCCAGAATCACCCAGTTAGTAAGTGTATCTGAGGCCAGATTTGAATTCAGGAAGATGAGTGCTCTACCCACTGTTCCACCTATGTGTCCCTACTCTACTTCATCCTGCATGTGCAAATCATTCATCAAGTGGTCAAAAGCAAGACATGGAAAGAAGTAAAGAAAGTAAGCAAGCCCGAATGCTCCCTGAGCTGGATAAGTTAGTGTCTGCCTCATGAATGCTTTCAGTACCAGTTGCTATAACAGGATGTAGATCGCTGGTAAGATTTCAACCCTTTGAAACCCATCATTAAAGTAAATACTGTTTCTGTTCTTTTCTCTTAGTCCACCATGACGACTTTGCCACCTGTGCAGATAGAATACTCAAAGCTCGCCCTCTTAACAAGAAAGAGGAAGACATGTTCCCCGTCAGGCCTCACAAAGTAAATGACTCTGATTCTGGTGTTTTGGGGCTTTTTTGTTTCACTTTTTTTTTTTTAATTATTGTGATCCTTTGTCTTGCTACACTTCCAGTGGACATAGAGGAAAGGTAGTCAGGGAATAGGAATAAGAGGAAAATTCATGGAGTAAAGCTAGTCCCAAGAGGTTATGATATACCGATATTGTTCATCAATTCCATGGATTAAGTATGTCCTTGAATGTACCCTAATGTACCATTAGGTATTTAATATACCTAAAATTAGGTACCATTTGGTACCTAATGTATCAAATAGGAGTACCATTTACTCTTATACTAGGCATAGGTAAGTTAGGGGATCTTTGCTGGTACCTGTCTCAAAAGAAAGAGGCCAATGTTTGCCACTCACCGTGAATTGGATCTGAGTTAAGATCAGAAATAATGGCTCTGGTGTTGTTGATGACCAGTTACAGACTATCTGAGTAGGAACACTATCACAATGATACTCAGAGAATATTAGAAATCAAAGGAATCTTCTCAGAGTTCAGCATGAATCTCATCTGTAGCATCTCTGATCTGTGATGATCTAGGTTCTGCTTGAAGACCTTCAATGACAGAGAACTCAATACTTCCAAAGACAGCCAATTCCCTTTTTGGGTAGTGCCAATCATTTGGAAGTTTCTCCATATTATCTCAAAGTTGCCTGCTTTGTAACTTTTACTCACTGCTCTAAGTTCTGTCCTTTGGATATGTATTTTTTAACTGGAGCATATCTAAAAGAGGATGCGATGTTGTACTCCAGTTAAAAAAAATTTTAATTTTTTTAATTTAAAAATAGAAATCACAGATCTGAAGCAAACAAAAAAACCCCTGAAAATAAATATGTGAAATGACTTCCATAGATGAGAAAGTAAACTGAGTCACTACAGCTAACAATTTTTTTGCATTTAAAGTCCTCTTAGTGATTATATTATAAAATATAGCATATTATATGTAATATATTATACGTATATAATATGTAAGATATGTTAATATATTATTATAAGTTACATTATTAAAGTTTCCAAGTTTAAAACTGAAGGGAAAAAAGGTTTTATGAATATACTGTCCTTGAGTACCATATTGATTTAGATTCTGGGATCAGTAGCTTTTCTCAGTCCTGTATAATAAGGACTTGAATACAGCTATTTATTCTAAAGGTTTAACTCAATTTGCTCAATTCTTTGTGCAACACTGCTCCTCTTCAGCAGACTTATCGATGAGTGGTTCTCCTCCAGTATTTCTCCTCCTCTAGTTTCCATCTGTATGTCTTGTCATCTTTCTTCTTGGCACTTCAGTTCTCTTTTAATTTTTTTCCTCTCATTTAAATTTAGGGCCCAATTGTTGAAAATTAAAGGTGAGACTGATAAGTATCTGGAATTGAAATGGAAAGGGTTGACAAAAGAAGAAGCGGCTGGGTAAGCGTACCCTTCTCATATAAAGTTTGTTTCTTTTGTCTTGATTCTCTGTTGAAATTTCCAGTTCCCCTGTTCAGTATACCTTTTTCATTGGAACATGGCATTTAAAAATTAAAAGTCCATTAAATAATGATGAATCATTTCTACTGATCTTACATATATCAAAGTCCTTTAATTTCATGGCTTTCATAATTCTCGTATTTACCAAGGTATTATGATATCACATTTGCTATATTTTAGTTAAGTTTTTGTCATTAATTGCCTCTTAACCTTCTTTTTAAGGTGTTTTTACCATCACGAAAAAAAAAAGCTTGCATTAGGAGAGCTTATTAGTTCCACATTTTTTTCCTGGTACTTTTATCTTAGCCTCTATTAATATACCTCTTTATTTCCAAATACCGACTTAAAAGACTAAGAGGATTGGAGAATATACAATGATATAGCTGACATTTATGTAATTTTTAAAGGTTTACAAAGCCTTTATGAACATTATCTCATTTGGTCCTCACAACAGTGCTATAATATAGCTACCAGAGGTAACATTATCCCCATTTATCAGATGAAGAAACTAATGAATCTACATGGTGTAGATTTTAGTATGTTTAGATTTCTAAACTGTGAAAATATATGTTTAATTTTTTGGGATGCCTGATCTGTGAATTTGATTAATTTTTCTTAAATCCTTGTTAAACTGGGAGAAACTGACAAAGACCTAGAATAGCATTTAAATAAGCATCGTTGTTTTTTACCTGTAGAGTAAATGGTTTTGTTGGAGTCTGTTATGATATTGTTAAGTGTTAGCTCTTAAATGAAGTCTTTTTTTAGAATCCCAGAATCAGAGAACGGAATTGGAAGGAACTCTTTCCTCAGAAACTGAGACCTCGAGAAAAAACATGACTGTCTTTCATGTGACTCATTGATAAAAGAGTTTAATTTAATTTTGATAGAATCTGTGAAGTTCTTAAAAATCACATTGAAATTGCATAATTGAAATAAGGAAATGAACCATTAGTAAAGTAGGAGCATTTTGATTTCAGTTAGGAGTATTTTGATACAAAGGGAGCAATGATTTAGTCATTTCATAATGTAATAAACATTTTGTACTGATTTCTGATGTTTCCCAAGCACCAAGTCTACTGATCATTAGCATATCTAGAACTTCTTTTTGTAAAAACATAATGAAGTAAAATCAGTGGGATTAAAATTTTTTGAAAGAATTTGATCCTAAATTAATTTAGGAGACTTCATTACAAGTTAACTATGCAATACTGGGTAAACTTAAAAGCTGAAATGATCCTCTAAAGCCTTGATTAAGGAATGGAGGGAAAGGAGGGGAAAAAAGGAAAGGGTGGAGGAATAGTGGCATGAAAGAGACCTTTGATAACAACGTAAAAAGAAGGGGAGAGTATGAACCTGAACTAGTGGCCACTTGCTTTCCTGATTCATTTGAGCTTCACGCAATACAAATGTGTGGTTTTAAATAAATTTGCATAAATAATAAATTTGCGTGCATAAAATATGTAGCAGTTCTTTGCCAGCACATATACCTGTGTGTGCTGGCTGAAAATAAATACTGAATATTTAAGTGCGTCAATATGTATGCAACATATGGGAGGATTACAAATACAGGTCCTTCTTACATGATTTTAAAAAATTTTCCTGATTGATAAAATTTTAAATTAACTTTTATAAAGTAACTATGTAATTCAGTGTTTCAGTGTGTCTTATGCTGTGTCCTAATGGGGATTTGGGATAAATTCAATTCTCATTCTAACTTCATGTCCTTGCCACTAATAAGTGGTAGAGAAAATTCATGTTTAATACATTATGATGCTGTAGCTATTTTTAAAGGCAAATGTTATGTGTATGTGGTGCTGGAGCTCTGGTTTAAAGATAAAGAAAGCAAAATATCTTTAAACAATTTATTTTGGATTTACCCAGTGCTTTAGATTACTTCGCAATGTGTGCAATGAACAGCTGCACAAACCTTAGCAGAATGGGGTTTGCTGTCATGTATACATGTCCACCATTAGCCCCCCCCCCCCACAAGGGGGTAGGGTGGGTATCTGCTGATCCTGATGCCTTTGACATTAGGGCAAAAGCTTCACTGTGGTTTATTTCCATTGGGACTGAAAGATTGAATTCATGTAGGAAAATAGAGAACTGATTCCAGAGTCAGAAAGATCTGGGTTCAAGTTATGTCTCTACTATCTTCTGGCTGTGTGACCCTGGTGGGGCAAGGCACTTCTCAGCACTCACAGGCAATTTTCAAAGATAATCAGTTATAGAGCAGGTCCCATTCTGCATATCTAGAAGTTTTCTCACTGGAAGTTTCTTATCCCAATGAAAAGATGGGTGTAAACTTTTATTGCAACTACCACCACCACAAAAAAATATATATATAGTTTCAAATACAGGATAATCAATCAACCAAGTACTTAAGGAAAAAATTATTTTAGAGAAAGGGAGACAGAGACTGAGACCCAGGAATGTTGAATTATCTTTCTCTTCATTTTTGTTCATTTCTTTCATGTGGTAGCTAATAGAAGAAGGGAGAGAATAGGAAATAAAAGACTTTTAATTAAAATAAAAAGCAGGAGGAGCTTTGTTTATGGAAATCTGAAGAATTGGAGGATTGACAATAAATCATTAGAGCAAGGTTTCAACAAAAAGTTAAGAGGCAAATGGAAAAAAAATAAGATGCTCCCATTATAGAAAATTGAGTCAGAAGATGGGAGTTGGAGGAAGGGAAGGAAATAAGCATTTATATGTTATTAGCTACTACATGCCAAGCACTGCGATTAGTGTTTTAAATTTTTTTTTCATTTGATCCTCACAACAACCCTGGGAGATAGGTGTTATAGATTTTATAGTAAGGAACCTGAAGCAAACATAAGTAAAGTGACTTGTCCAGGGTCACACAGCCAGCAAGTGATTGAGGTAGCACTTGAACTCAGGTCTTTGTGACTCCAGGCCCAGTGCTGTATCCACTGTGCCATGTAGTTGCCTCTAAAGCGCCAAAAAGTAGGAATTTCTGTGAAGATCCTGGTATAGCAAATAGAAAGTTGGCCTCAGAATCAGGAAGACCTAGGTTCAAATCCTGCTGATGATATATACTCCTTGCCAGTCATTTAACCTCTTACTGGTTTTGAAGAGAAGATGCAAACCTGCTTTGGCAATGGGAGCTCCATTATCCTGGAGTCTCCATACCAATGGGATCACAGGTCCAGACTATGTCATTTATTTGATGTTCATCAGATATGTCCACTATATACAGAATTGTGGTTCATAGGGAGGCTGAGTAGTATGGTGGACAGCAAGATGGCACCATAGTGCATAGAGTACTGGACTGGAAACCAGGAAGACTCATCTTCCCAAGTTCAAATCTGGCCTCAGACACTTACTAGCTGTGTGACCCTGGGGCAAGTTACTTTACCTTGTTTGCCTCAGTTTCCTCATGAGTCAAATGAGCTGGAGAGGTAAATAGCAAGCCACTCCAGTATCTTTGCCAAAAAAAACCAAAAACAAACCCAAATGGGGTCACGAAGAGTTGAACACAACTTAAAAAATGAACAACAAAACAAAGAGTAGTACAATGGAAAGATGACTGACTCTGGAGTCAGACTTGGATTCATATCCTGCCTCAGATGCTGTGTGACCTTGGGCAAGGTGTTTAGTCTCCCTTAGCCTCTGTTTCCTCATCTCTAAAATGGGGGTGTAGGGGTCAGCTAGATGGCGCAGTGGATAGAGCACCAGCCCTGAAGCCAGGAGGACCTGAGTTCAAATCTGGTCTCAGACCAAGCACTTGACACTTACTAGCTGTGTGACCCTGGGCAAGTCACTTAACCCCAATTGCCTAAAAATAAATAGATAAAATAAAATGGAGGTGTATATGAATTAGCTAGGCTCTGAAATCCTTTCCAGCTCTAAATTCATGACCCTATTATGTTTTATAAGGGATATAAAGATCAGTAAGACATGTATGTGCCTCTCCTCAAGTATCAAATGCTAGTTGTAGAAAAATTAATTTTTAAAAATCCTTATTGAGGAAAGATACTAAAATGTGGGCATGCATCCTAGGAGTTTAGCTCCTAAATAGTTTTGTTCTTATAGCATCATCTGTTCAGGACTTGAAGGATATGGGATTCCATCAGTGTGAATGCCCCCTGCACTAGGGCAGAGCACACCTTCTTTAACTAATGAGATTTCTTGGCAAACTGCCGGGGTCCAAGAATTCATGATCAGCCTGAGGCTAACCTGTCTTTGAACTTAGCTGGGTGAGTCCTTTGCTGACCAAGATTCAGTCCTTCCCTTGGCAGCCTTGACTTGGCCATGCTCCAAGTCTTTCTAGCTTGGGTAAGATCTACCAGAGCATAGGCTCAGGCTGACACAACCTCGGGGAGCTCTGACTAAACTCTACCCCATGAGAAAGCATGAGAGTGTGACTTAAGGAAATGATCTTCAAATATGGTAGTGATTAAATTTTTTTTTAACTTCAGCTGATTAGCTAGGTGGTACAGTGGATAAAGGGCCTGGAGTCAGGAAGACTTGAGTTCAAATCTGGCTTCAGATACTTACTAGCTGTGTCACCCTGGGCAGGTCACTTAAACCTGTTTGCCTCGGTTTCCTCATCTGTAAAATGAGCTGGAGAACACTATGTATCCTTTCCCATTATGAAGTGATTGACCATGCAGTGGATAGAGCACTGGGCCTAGAGTGAAGAAAACTTGAGTTCAAATCAAGCCTCAGACACTTACTAGCTATGAGACACTGGGCAAGTCATATAACCTGTCTCCATCAGTTTCCTCAACTGTAAAATGGGGATATTAATAGCACCTACCTTCCAGAGTGATCATGAGGATTAAGTGAGGCAGTAAGTGCTTAGCACACTGCCTGGCACATAGTAGATACTTAATAAATGCTTATCCCCTCCCAAAAAAAAAAATAAAATGAGCTGGAGAAGGAAATGGCAAATCACTCCAGTCCCTTTGCTAAGAAAACCCCAAATGGGGTCATGAAGAGTCAGACACAAATGACTGAACAACAACAACATTTTTAGAAAGAGTAGGAATTCATGCTTTAAAAGTCAGGGCTATGAAGGAAAGAGTTTGTTCTGATTCTTATCATTTTTAGGAAATGTTAAGGGTTATTATGACATATTAACACTATCTGGTGACAGTATACCTGGAGTACTGGAATGACGAGGGGAAATGGTAAAGAAGTTAGTACTAAAAGTGGAAAAATAAAAGCAACACGGTGACAGTTTTCTGCCTCGCTGCCTCTGTCCAATGCCTGTTCTCCTCTATAGAACCGTTCAGTTATAAAAGCCACCAGAGATCACGGATCCAGACTATATTATCTATTCAGCGTTCATCAGATACATCCAATATGTGCAGAATGAAGGATCCCTCAAACAAGATGCGGGCATGTGCCCACATTATGCTTCATCCTGCTATAGAGCAGTGGCATTTCAGGCCGTTATATTCAATTCTGTTTAATTGTCTTTTTTTTTTCAGAATTTACAGTACTATAGCAACATAAAAACCATAAATATTGACATTTTGTGACTTTTTCAGTAATGTTAAAACTTCATAGAATTTTCGAGTATGAGAGCATGAATCTTGTCTACAGAGTTCTGAGGAAATGTTGCCCGGCAGACAACTCACTCCCTCATGAGTTACCCAATTCCATTTTGGCTCAGCTCTCACCTACCTTAGGTTTAACTGAAGTCTGCTCCCTGTGACTTCCATTTCTGCTTTGTATGACCAGACATTATTTTCTCCCATAAATATATGGTTTTAAAAACATCCATTCTTACATAGATTTTTGCTACATGAGCTAAATATTTTTCCTTCTAAAGAATTCATATTTTGCTTTCTGATGATAACTACTGAGAAAGAGGCAATATACTAACATACCAAAAAAAAAAAAACCCAAACAAAACCCCAAAGCTCTTTAAAAGCATATGTGTCAGCCTTCCTCCTCTCATTAGAAAGGTAGGTACTAGAGATGTAGAATTTTATAAAAACTGTCAGACACGGTTACTCTTTTGGTTGACTTTGCTGAGACAATTAGATTTTCTGTTGTTGTAAGGAAGAAAATAAACTGGGGGACGGCTAAGGAGAAGAGCCACGTAAAAACTAAATGAAAGAATAAAATGATTAGAAAATAAATACATAAATTAAAGATACAAAACAAGTACACAAAATATTTAAAACAAATCTATGAATTTAAAAATTAATTTATATATGAATGAATATAAATTTTGCTGTTCAGTTGTTTTTCAGTTGTGTCTGACTCTTCATGACTCCATGTGGGAGTTTCTTGGCAAAGATACTGGAGTGGTTTGCCATTTCCTTCTTCAGCTCATTTTACAGATGAGGAAACTGAGGCAAACAGAGTTCAGTGACTTGTCCAGGGTCATGTAGCTACTAAGGCTGGATTTAACTCAGGTCTTTGTGACTCTAAGCCCAGAACTTTATCCACCATGCCACCTAGCTGCCACCCTTAGAGCCCTATTAATGTGGTTTCCCTCTCCCAGGACTCCCTCCCCTCTCCATCTCTGTGCTGACTCAGGCCAGGCTCTCTACAGGAAGTGCCACCCTCTCTCATTCTCTCAGTCAAACTGTCATAACCCGACCCAACCCAACTCAACCCAACTCAACAAGTATATTTGTCCCAATTCCTAGGCTATTTCAGGCTAAACATTACGTTCAGTAATAAGGGGGAAAATACAGTATTTGCTTAAATTTTAAAAAATCAGCCACACATACAACCTGACAAATGAGATATATTTGTATATAATCTTTTCATTTAATTAACATGTGTAGACCTTTTCAGACATTTGAACTATGAGTTAATTGTTTTAAATTATAAAAGGTTTTGTAAATTGCTTAAAACTCATTTGATAAACATTCAAAATAAGTCATATTTTTAGGATAAATCGATAACTGGTTCATACATCTGAAAAAGGAGTGTCTGTATGTAAGAAATTAGGTTTAAAATATGACCCTTGATTTGGCCCATTTTACAAATCTTCTTTAGATGATTTAGGGTTTCTAAGCAAGAACAGACATCACCCCCCCACTGATGTTGACCTTCGTTTATTCTTTCCCTAGGATTTGACCTTATTCTATTTCCCAAAAGGATTGAAAAACACTCGTCTTTAAAAGCCTAGAGTAGCGATAGTCTCCAAGCCCGCCCCACCCCCAAGTTTCACAGCCCCGCTGTCTTTTCTGTGTTGGAAACTGGAGATACAGTGAGAACCTGGGTCACCTTGAGCCTACTCAGCGTGGCAGGGGCTGCTGGTGTTCCTCAAGGTGCTCTCGCCTTCCAGGCCACTCTTGAGCCCCGTTCGCTCTTTGGCCTGTGTCCTGCTTTGAGTCTTCTGGACACACATGATTACGTAGATCCTATCTCTACTTTAGGACCATCTCTTGTACCCCTTTGCAGACACATAAAATGTTGATTTGTGTGTTACTTAAGAGATTTCTTGCATATGAAAATGAAAAAGATGTTACTTTCTATAATTAGGAGTAGAGAAATTTTCCTAACTTTTTTTTTAAAAACACATTTAACTTAAAAAAATTTACTTGTGCAGCTAGGTGGCACAGTGGACAGAGCACTAGGCTTGGAGTCAGGAAGACTCCACTTTCTGAGTTTAAATCCAGTTTCAGACACTTAATGGCTGTGTGACCCTGGGCAAGTCATTTAACCCTGTTTGCCTCAGTTTCCTCATCTGTAAAAATGGGGATAATAATAATAATATTATCTCCCTCCCAAGATTATTGTGAGGATTAAATGAGATAATATTGATATTAGGCTGTTCCAGCCTTTCCCTCTAAGGCTAACTTCTATTTACTCTATGATAGTATCTTCTTGTTATTTTTCACTCATATTCAACTCTTTTTACCCTATTTGGGGTTCTCTTGGCAGAGATACTGGAGTGGTTTGCCATTTCCTTCTCCACCTCCTTTTACAGTTGAGGAAACTGAGGCAAACAGTGTTAAGTGACTTACCCAAGGTCACACAGCTAGTAAGTGTCTCAGTCTGGATTTGAACTCAGGTCTTCCTGACTCCAGGCTCAGCACTCTATCCACTGCACCATCTAGCTGCCCCATATGTATCTTTATTATACCTATTTAAACATACAAGCTCACTCCTCCATTGATACATAAGAGCTTCTTAATGGCAGGAGACCTAATTTTACTTTGTGTCCCCAGAGCTTTGCACCATGCCTGGCCCATGGTAAGCACTTAATACTTGTTAATTGACTGAAAAAATAAGCGTGATCACCTGGCTTGGAAAAGCCCAGTCAGATCAATTTTAAACTCTCTCTACTTTGTGTTGATTTGCAAAGGCGATATTGAGACAATGGGGTGAAGTGGGTGGAATCTGGCACTGAGGACCTGAGTTCCATTCTTGTTCTAGCCACTTGTGAGCTGTAGGAACACAGAAAAGCTTTTTAATACCTCAGAGCCTCAGTTTCTTCATCTGTAAAATAGGTATAATAATATTTACATTACTTCTTTCATAGGGATGTTGTGAAAATTAACTAATATGCAAAGCACTTTATAAACCTGGAAGCATTGTATAAATATCAGGCAATATTATCATATGAAAGTTGGGCTGTGAGATAGCCTGACTCCTTGAAGGATTGCATTGATGTGGGTAGTCCCTCCAAAGGAGTGCATCACCACCCAGTCATGTCCTCGTCTTTGAGGAAGGCCTACTTCGACATCTCTTGATATTGCTTGATGACCTGCTGAGCATATGGCCTGTCGATCAGTTATCCTTTGCTCTCACTACTCAATTAGTTCATTTTCTTTTCAGGAAGGCACTCTTTTTTGGACAGATGGATGAGACAATGGATAGAGTTCTGGGCCTGGAGTTAGGAAGACCTGAGTTCAAATCCAGCCTCAGACACTTTAGCTGTGTGACCCTGGGCAAGTCACTTAACTCTGCCTCAGTTTCCTCATCTTTAAAATGAGCTGGAGAAGGAAATGGCAAAACACTCCAGTATCCTTGCCAAGAGAACCCCAAATGGGATCACAAAAAGTCAGGCACGACTGAAAAATGACTAAACAATAAACAAATTGTCCAAGACACAACCAACAAATAAACAAAACAAACAGACAAACAAAAAATCTCTCCTTTGCTCTACTTCTTGGGTGAAACCTTTTGTGGTAATACATTTCAGACTATTCATGCTTAATCTGTGCCTATCTATTGTTGTTTTAGATTGCTAACCATCGGAGAGCAAGGTCTTGGTATATGTGTTGTATCGCCAGAACCTAGCATAGCATTTTCCACCTCCCCATTAGATTGCTAACCATCGGAGAGCAAGGTCTTGGTATATGTGTTGTATCGCCAGAACCTAGCATAGCATTTTCCACAAAATAAACACTTGATTTTTTTTAAAGAACTTAAAATAAATACCTGATAAATTGAATTGAATAAATATTTTCTAAGCGAATTAATCTTATATCATTCAAAATACATGATAGTATGTAACATTAAATCCTAACCCCTATAATACCTAACCAAATATTCTTAGTTTTTAAGGCTATTATCTAGTGATACTTCAATAGATTTATAAAAGTTCTTTTTGGTCGAAAGTTTTAAAGTATAAAGAGACATTGTTTATGTATAGCAAGTTTCTAAGCCCAGCAGTTCTTTTTTTTTGAACATTATTTTGTATTTTTATTTATTTTATTTTGTTAAATATTTCCCAATTACATTTTAATCTAGTTCTGGCCTGCAAGGAAGTTTAACACCTCTGCTTTACATTATTGTCAACATGTACATAAAAAGCTCAAATTATGATTGACTTACTGGTTACATTATCAATTAGTGATACTATAAATCTTTTATCATTTCCTTGTAACTGGTATTCCTCGAAGTGGGTGCTTATGCACTGATTATAAGAATCAACCACTTTTACCTGCCTTTACCCCTAGGCCAACTTCCTGACAGATTTTTTTTTTAAAAATATATTTATTTATTTTTAGTTTTCAACATTCACCTTTATAAGATTTTAAGTTTTAAATTTTCTCCCCCCCTCCTTCCCTTCCCCTCTCCCCAAGAAGGCATGCAATCTGATATAATCCATACATTTACAATCATATTAAACATATTCCCACATTAGTAAGACCAGAATTTCTTTTTTAAAAAATTTTTATTAATTTATTTTGATTTATCAATAATCACTTCCATAAGCTTTTGAGTTTAAAATTTTTCTCCCCCTCCTTCCCCAAGATGGCATGCAATCTGATATAGGCTATATGTATACATTCCTATTGAACATATTTTCACTTTAGTGATGTTGTAAGGAAGAATTAGAACCAATAGGAGGAACCACCAGAAAGAGGAAACAAAACAAAACAGAAGAAAAAAATAGCAAATAGTATGCTTCCATCTGCATTCAAACTCGATAGTTCTTTCTTTGGATGTGGATAGCATTTTCCATTGTGAGACCTTTGGAGATGTCTTAGATCCTTGCATTGCTGAGAAGAACTAAGTCTATCAACATTACTCATCACACAACATGGCTGTTACTGTGTACAATGAAGACCAACATTTCTAATAGAATGTAAGTTCTTTTTCTCTCTGTATCTCTAGTGCCTAGCACAGTGCCTGTTACCTGTTGGGTGCTTTATAAATGTTTTTTGAATGAGTAAATGCATTTTAGGAAATCATAATTTTTTGATTAGGGTTTCCCTTCCTTCCCTAATCTCTAGTCCAGGGGTGGGGAACATGAATCCAGACTTCACAGAGCACTTGGATTCGGTCAAAGGACAACACCTGAGGACCTAGAGGGCCACGTGTGGCCTTGAGGCTGCGGATTCCCCATCCAGCTCTAGTCATTCATAATCTAATAACTTCTTGTGTAATAAAAATATGTAGTGATACCTCATTTATGCTGCGATCAGACACAGATGAAGCTCAGCCATCCAGAATGTAGACACAAAGGCTGTTGTAAGAGGGAGAGGCCCTGTGGAGAGCGTCATTTTCAAGCCTTTGTACAAGAATTGACTTAGAATTCAGAGTGAAAGTGAATTTTCTCATGTACACTTGTTTTTGTTTTTGTTTTTCCCCAGGCAGCCCCCAATTCTTCCTATATTTCTACTGGTAGCAGATTGAAACATGAAGGGAAGAGAAGAAACTGGTTAGAAACCAGTATGTTGAGGCTGGGAGGGAAAGAATAAAAAACTCAGTTACTAATACAGTCCAGCAGTCGGGAGAACACAGGAAAAGGCTGAACTAAGCCCCATATACTTGAGAATCCCCCAACATCATTTCTGTATTACTGTAGAGAGCAAAACTTGATGAACCTTAGTCACAGGAAAAGATTAAATTAAGCACACTATGCTATTTCAGAAGATAGGAGTTTGTCATACATTTTAGGAAGATCCCTATCCAAAATGGATAATATTAAATTTTTAAAACATTTTTGGCACTCAACTTTCTGGAAAATTCAGCTATGTGGAGCAATATATTCCCTGATGGTGCCAGATAAGGGGCCTACCTCTTAGCTGTAAGGTCCTCTCCAAAATTTACTTTGTGATTATTTTGTGTATATGTTTCATATTTACTCCTCTCTATCCCGCAGTAGAACGTAAGCTCCTTGAGGGCAAGGATTTTTGCCTTCATATCCCTAGCATCTAGCACAGTGCACCCAGCACATAATAGGCCCTTAATAAAGCTTGCTTAATGGACTTTCAGAAAGAACTGAGCTATTCATCTGGGAAATTCTCCCTTCCCACTTTCTATTTCTCTCCCGGGGCTCATCAGAGTTGAAGACAGAAGCAAAGCTAGCTAACACAATGAATGACAGAGTCAGGATCCAAAAGGCTCTTGACAAGGTCTGCATCATTGTGTTAAATTTAATAAGATGAAATTCAATAGGGATAAATGTAAAGTCTTGCCCTTGGGTGCAAAAAATCAGCTTCACAAGTATAAGATGGGGAGGTATGGTTAGACTGCATTCTGATACAGACCTGAAAGTTTCAATGAACTACAAACTCAATGTAAATCAACTTGATGGCCAAAAAAGCTAATGGTATCTTGGTCTGCATTAAGAGGGATACAACTTCCAGAATTAGGGAGGCAGAAGTCCCACTGAGCTCCACCCTCCATTTAGTCAGATCAGTTGTTTTTTCAGTCGTGTCTGACTCTTTGTGACCCCATTTGGGGATACTGGAGTGGTCTGCCATTTCCTTCTCCAGCTCATTTTACAGATGAGGAAACTGAGGCAATCAGGGTTAAGTGACTTGCTGAGGGTCACACAGCTAATAAGTATTTGAGACCAGATTTGAACTTAGGAAAAGGAGTCTTCCTGACTCCAGAGCTAGCACTCTATCCACTGCATCACCTAACCACCCCTATCCTTAGACCTCTTCTAAAATATCGTGTTCAGTCATGAACACTACATTTTAAGGATATTGATCAGCTAGAAAGTATCCTGAAAGGGCAAGGAAGGATGAGGAAGGGCCTTGAGTCTTATGTCATATGAGGATTAGTTGAAGGAATTAGGCAGAACTGATTATCTTGGAGAAGCACAGACTTAGAAGGGACTCAATAGGTGTTTTCGTTTATTTGCAAGGGCTGGCACAGGAGGAGGAATTCAGCTTATTCCATTTGGTCGCCGAGGACAGAACCAGAATTTGAGATCTACGTACCCATACATTGCAGAAGCCAGTATAAGTTTAAGGGCAGGAAAAACTTCCTAACAATTAGAACTACCCAGAAGTGCAATGGGTTGGCTCTAGAGGAGGTGAGTTGCCTCTGCTTGAACGTCTTCAAGCAGAATCTGGATGACCACTTGTTAAGGATGGTATATTTGGGGGCTTTCCTTTTGTGTATGTGTCAGCCTGGATGGCCTCTGAGAGCCCTTCTGAGTCTCAAATTCTGCCATTCTTTCATTCTGTTCTTGTGACATTCTGTGACACTCCAGCCCTTCCATTTGCCCCATCACTCCTGAGGAGTCCTGGGTAATTCCTGTCACAGACACATGCCTTTTCCTGGGCTTCTTTGTGTTTCCCTTTGATGGATGGGTGCCCAGTGAAGATTCTGAACTGCTATTGAAAGCATTTAAAAAGTACGCTTTCCTTCCTGTTGTAAAATATGCTGTTTAGAGTCATCATCTCTTCTGATCATTTCAAATCAAGTTCAGTTATGGTGCTGGGATGCTGCCCTTTGGAGTCTCCACGTGTTTGTTCTCCTGAATGACAGATGAGCAAACATCAATAGGATCGTGATGCTGATCAGTGCAGACTCCGAAAGCAGTCGTTCCAATTCTCATGCCTGGGAATCAAAACAAAAACCATTTTAAGAGTTGATCCTTTGTCTTAACTTTTTTAAATCAGTTATCCCTGGTAAAATGATGAACTGTTTTTAAGAAACGATGATACTCTTTTTAAGTTTGGACAATGCCAATGATCTCTTATGTTCCTTTCATTTCAATTCATTGGATATGTATTAAGCAACTACTACTTAGGTGCTATGCTAGGCCCTGAGGGTACTTTATATTTTATATATAAAGGCCAGCTTCTTTAATGGCCTCCTGTAACTCAACTGAGGGCATATTTTGTCTTGCTTACAGGGGTCACAAGAATTGTGACTTATAACTCCATGGAAGAGCATATGGAAGGAAGGAGTATAATGTGTAATTATGATGATGATGAGAAGGAGGAGGAGGAGGAGGAGGAGGAGGATGATGATGATAATGATGATGAATTTTGGTCTGGACCTATGGTTTTATAGGTTCATGGAAATTAGGAGGTTCCTTTTGCCAATACAACTTAAAATCCTAAGAAGGTTATTTAGGGTAGATGTGACATACTGGATAGAGCCTTTGAGGACCTAAGTTTGAATCCTGTCTCAAATACTTAATAAGTATGTAACCCTAGGCAAGTCAGTTAGTGGCCCTGTGCCTCAATTTCCTCTTCTATAAAGTTGAAAGTGTTGGATTTGACTTCTAAGGTCTCTTCTAACTCGTGATTCTAGGAAAGCCCCACTTCACTGATGCTACTTTCTGCTTCAAGCCTTTTGTGATCACCCCAGTGTTCTTCATCACCCTCCAAAATTACTCTGTGCTTACTTTGTTTAGGGCAGGTAGGTGTCACAGTAGAGAGTGCTGCTTCTGAAGTCAGACTCATATTCCTGAGTTCAAATATGGCGTCAGACACTAGTAACTGTGTGACCCTGGGCAAATCATTTAATCCTGTTTGCCTCAATTTTCTCATCTATGAAATGAGCTTGACAAGGAAATGGCAAACCACTCCAGTATCTTTGCCAAGAAAACCCCAAATGGGGTCACAAAGAGTCGGACATGATTTAAATGACTGAACAACGAAAATTACTTTGTTGATATTTTCTATTTGCTTATCTGTATATTTTCTGCTTCACTCAACAGAATGTAAGCTTTCTTTAGGGCAGGGCTTGTTTTCATTTTAGACTTTGTATTCCTGATGTTTAGCGTAGTGCCTGACGCCTACTAGGTTGTTGAATTCAATTAAACCATTGCTAGAAATGGAGAAATGCAGAGAGGGACCAGATTTGGAGAGGAAAGGCAATGGGTTTGATTTTAGACATATTGACTTTGAGCTGACAGTGGGATATCTGAGTAGAAAAGCCCCAGAAGGAGAAAGTGATGCAGAGCTCGAGATACGGAGATCACTGCTGGAGATCTAGATGCGGAAAACAGCTTCATTGAAGGAACAGCTGAAGCCGTGAGGGAAGATGATATGTATCAGGGAAAAAGTAAAGAAAAGAGGAGATGCCTGGAATTTTCTCCCTAAAATGATTTTGTAATATTCTGTTTTCTCTTCAGGACTACAAAGTAAATTTTTAATTTTATAGGATGCTGAGATTGACTATATCCCATCTGTTTTCTGATTAGGAAATATAGTTCTTTAAAAAGTCCAGTTATAATCATTAAAATGTGGCGTGTTGTGATGTTTATACTATGGACACGTCATGGAATGATACGTTTTCTCATCTTAAAAAATATACGAAGTGTGAATGCACTTTTGTACTCTGAGGGCATTCTTCCTTAGTGTATTCAGTCTTTTTGTGTGTCACATATTTGTATATAGAATCATTTCTGTTCCTTTCTGGTGAGCTCTCTCTTAAATCATTCCTAATAATTAACCCTGCTCCCTAACCCACCCATTAGTTGTGGTCCAGCACAGCCAAACAGTTCTCCCTGCTCCTTGATAGACACAGATCCTGGAAAATTAAGCAGATCTCATCTCTAATTTTAAAGCTCCAGATCTGGCATTAATAAAATGTGAAGTTGAGGGCATATAGTAGACACTCCAGTAGTCCCCTTACAAGGAACATTGTTTTTCAGCATGAATACTCAGGCCATTGCTAGGAGGGTGTGCAACCCTTGGAAAAGCCCACTGTGTCCCTTCTCCTCCCCTGAAATATTTTTTCTAGAGATCAAATGAGGTTAAAATGAACTTCAAGAGAAATATTGAAATGAAAAAAAAATGGTCACAAAAAAGGGCCTCATGCTATCTCAGGAGCAGAGTGATAATTAGGTCAAGGTGACTGGGGCTTTGCTCAAGACACCCAAACTTAGATGAACACCAACAGCACATTCACTCATCCAGAAGCACGCAACAGTGGTGGGAGATATGGATTTGGAGTCAGAAAACTTGGGTCTGAATCTCGGCTCTGCCGACCGTTTTCTGTGTGACCTTTGATGGGTTCTTGAGGTCACATAGAACAAGACCTCAGTTTTCCCTTTTGCGTATGGAATGAGAGACTTGGTCTCAGTGATCTCTAAGGTCCCTCCACCTCTAACTCTATGCTGCTATCATGCAGCATAGAAAACTACTTAGTAACAATAGAAAGCTACCGAATGATGGTTTACTGGCCCTGCTCCAGGTGCTTCTCCTCGGGCCGTTCACCTGCCCTGCTTCCGGCTCCCTCTTCCAGCCTCCACTATAGAAGCCCAAAGTGGCCATGGCCCTTGTCACCTTCCCCCAACTCATTTTAGTTGATTAATCCCATGTCTCTTGCCCTGGGGGAAAATTGTTAGCTACAACTGTCATTCCATGATCTTCTATTTAGTGTTGGAGGATTAAGGGAGGGGATGAGAAAGGAGGGTAGGTGGCACTTGGGGAGCTGAAGTGGCTCAGTGGGTAAAGCACTGGGCCTAGGGTCAGGAAAACTAGAGTTCAAATCCAGCCTCAGACACTTACTAATCGTGAGACTCTAAGCAAATCACTAAACTTCTGTCTGACTCAGCTTTCCCAACTGTATAATAATAGCATTTGCCTAGTTTTGTTGTGAAGATCAAATGAGATAACATTTGTAAAATTCTTAGTACATAGAGTAGGCATATAGTAGGTGCTTAATAAATGCTTGTTTACTTCTTTATGTTTCTGTATAACTTTGGTGGGGGTGGAGGGTCTTCTTTAGCTTTAGCTGTTACTCACCACCTCCTTTAGTCAGTGTCACAATGCAAGAATCCCCAAAGCTCAGTGCCAGGTGATCACAATAGGGATGGTTTGGGTCAACGCAGGGTGACTTTATGCTTTGTACAAACTGTTCACATAAATTTTTTTTGATAAATTGTTTAAGTGTGTTGAAAACTTGCAAATTGCTTACGCTGAATACATGCATAAATAATCTATGTACACATGCCCTGCCTTTTTGTGACCCCCCCACCCCCACCCTGCAACAAGGCCCTTTCCAGTTGTTCAGCCATTTTTCAATCATATCTGACTCTTCATAACCCCATTTGGGGGTTTTCTTGGCAAGGATACTAGAGTGGTTTACCATTTCCCTCATTCATTTTACAGATGAGGAAACTGGGGCAGACAGGGTTAAGTGAGTTGTCCAGGGTCACACAGCTACTAAGTGTCTGAGGCTGGATTTGAACTCAGGTCTTTCTGACTCCAGGCCAGCGGTCTATCTATTGTGCCACCTGGCTACCCATGCAACTGCTTTTAGTCTTCCTTGGGATGAGGGAAGATCTGATGGGCCTGTACCTCCCTAGACACAGCTTTCTGGTCATCTAAAGGCTTGAAAAGTCCCATCCATATGTAGTCAGGACCCCTGCAATTTGATGGACTTCTGAAGTCATTCACTCTACCTGAAGACTAGACAGGTTTTCATAAGGAAATGAAGGGCTATGTGAGTATAGAAGCTAAGGTGTCCGTATCTGTTTAAATTGCCTCCAGTGCTGGAAGGTGGCTCTACAACCATGGATTGGAGCAATCCTGCCAGAGTGGAGCGTCAGTCCTGCCGGAGTGGTTCAGGGCGCAAGATCCTATTTTGTTTGCTTTCTTAATAGAAGCAGGATTTTTTTCTGAACGTGTTCCACTTGGTTTTGTGGCTCGTGTTCTGTCCTTTTTCTACCAGCATTATTTCCTTAGCAAGTCACTGTCATTAGCCTTTGATGCATACCAATTGATGAATCAATCAGCAAGTATTTATAAATCCCCTCCTCTGTGCCAGTTGCTGTGCTAGGAGCTGAGGGTTCAAAGACAACAAATGAAATAATCCCTACTTGCAAAGACTTTACATTCTAATGGGAGAGACAACAAGTGCACTTATCAGAATAAGGAGAATAAATACAGAGAAGTACAAAGCAGTTAAATTCGAAGTAGTTTGAAGGAGATGGTGCTGGCAGTTGGGAAATCAAGAAAGGCTTCTTGTTGGAGAGGGTTCATGAGCTATGTCTTGAAGGAAGATCAGGATTCTTAGGCAAAAGTGAGGAGGGATTGGATTCCAGCAATAGGTGATGGTCAGTGCAAAGGCATGACGTAAGAGATGGAGTGTTGTGTGTGAAGGACAGAGAAAGCCAATTTGTCTGGATCTCAGAGTGCAGAAGGAATGATGTCCAGTGAGGTCAGAGAGATAGGTTGGGGCCAGGTTGTGAAGGGCTTTTAGAAGCTAAGCAAAAGACTTTCTATTTGATCCTAGAAGCAAAAGGGAATGATCATAGTTGATTGTGAAAGGGAGACATCATCAGGTCTGTGCTTATGGAAAATAATTTTGGCAGTGGTATGGAGGATGGACTGCAGTGGGGGGAGACGAAGCAGAGACCAATTAAAACGTAGTGGCAGAGAGCATATGGGAGAGGTAACAAAAGTCTAAGAAGAAGGTCTGAATGTGGGAGATGTTGGGGAGACAGAAATGGCAAAATTTGGCAATTGCCTGGTATGAGGGGTAAGGGATCAAAAGTACTTTTGGCAGTATTATTTTTAGTAAATTTTTTTATTTTTCAAATAACAGGTATTTTTAATTAGCCTCTTCCTTCTGCACAATTCACATTGAGCATTTTTAAAAGCCCTGAAAACCAGATTCCCTCAGTACATATCTACATAGTCCTGTATTCCCACATTTGCTATGTCCAAAAGTGTATGTCTCAGGGCAGCTAGGTGGCACAGTGGATAGAGCTCCAGCCTTGAAGTCAGGAGGACCTGAGTTCAAATCTGGTCTCAGACACACAATGCACAATACATACTAGCTGTGTGACCCTGGGCAAGTCACTTAACCCCAATTGCCTAGCAAAAAGCAAAAAACAAAAACAAAAGAGTATGTCTCAAGGTACATTTTAAGTTTGTCACATCTCTATCAGGAGTTGTGTCAGATTTTATCTTCATCCTTTTGTACTGTGTGATCCAATTTCTAATGTTTTTCCAAACTGTTTTTCCTCTATAATGTTTTTATCATGGTATAAATTATTCTTCAAGTTCTGTTCATTTTGTTCATAAATGTCTATCCAGTTCCTCCATGTACAGTTCATCACTTCTTATGGCTCAATAATATTCCATTAAATTCATATGCCATAATTTGGTATCCATTCCCCAATAAGAGGACACTCCCTTAGTTTCCAATTTGGGGCTACCACAGAAGTTGCTATAAATATTTTTGTACATACAAACCCTTTTCCTTTTTTTCCTTTGGGGCTAGTAATAATAAAGCTGGATGAAAGGATATATAGAGTTTAGTAACTTTTTGGACATCGTTCTAAATTGCTTTGCATGTTTGCTGGACTAATTCATAGCTCTACCAACAGTACACTAGCATTCCTGTTTTCTCACAGACCCTCCAACATGTGTCATTTTTCTCTTTTTCATTTTTGCCAATCTGAAAGATGTGAGGTGGAACCTCAAAGGTCCTTTAATTTGAATTTTTTTCATATCATCGTTGATAGCTTGGATTTCTTCCTTTGAAAGCTGCCTGTTCATATCCTTTGACTGTTTACATATTAGATAATGACTCTTAATATTTGCAAATTTGTATCAGTTATTTATATAGACCTTTTTCAGAGGAATTTGTTGCAAAGATTTTTCCCCAGTTTCCTGTTTTCTTTCTGATTTTTACTACATTAACTTTGTGCAAAAACTGTTTATTTTATATAAGCAACATTGTCTATTTTATCTCTTATGACCCTCTCTATTCCTTGCTTAGCCATAAATTCTTCCCTGATCCATAGACCCGAAAAATAATTTCCTCCTTAATCCTCTAATTTGTTTATGACATGACCCTTAATTTCTATGTTACAGATCAATTTGGAGTTTATATTGATCTATGGTGTGAAATGTTGGTCTGAACTTAATTTCTGCCAGGCTACTGTCCAGTTTTCCCAGCAGTTTTTGTCAAATTGTGAGTCCTCCCCCAAGTAATTGAGGTTTTTTGGTTTCTCAAACCTTATGCTACTGTTTTTGCTTGCTTTGTCACATTGAGTACCTAATCTATTCCACTGATGCAGCCCTCCCCCCCCACTGCTTTTCCAAACCAGTACCAAATCATTTTTGATTAGTGCTTTGTAGTGCTGTTAGAGATTTGGCACTGATAGACACTCTTCCATTATACTTTTTTCCTTCATTGTCCTTGAGATTGTTAATCTCTTGTTCCTCCGTATCAATTTTCTTATAATTTTTTCTAGCTCTATGAAATATTCTTTGGGTAGTTTGATTGGTATGGCACTGAATAAATCAATTAATTTGGGTGGTATTGTCATTATCTATCTCTCTAATTTGTTTATTTTTGCTGGACTTACCCATGAGCAATAAATGTTTCTCTAATTATTCAGGTTTATCTTTATTTCTGCAAAAAGCGTTGTATATTATATTGATATAGTCCTTGAGTGAATCTTTAAAGATATGATCCCAAGTTTCTTATAGGCTTTATTGTTATTTTGAATGGCATTTCTCTCTCTAGCTTTTCTTGCTGAATTTTGTGGGTTATGTGTAAAAATACTGATGCGTGTGGATTTATATTATATCCTGCAACTTTATTGAAGTTATTTATTTTATTTAATTTTAGTTGACTCTCTGAGTTTCTAAAACACCTTAATGCTATTTGCAATAAGTGATAATTTTGTTGCACCTTTGTCCATGCATATTTCTCCAATTTATTTTTCTTCTCTTGTTGCAATAACCAATATTTCTAATACTGTGCTAAACAGTAATGCTAATAATAGGCATCTCTGCTTACCCCCAATCTTATAGGAAAGGCTTTTAATTTTCTCTATTACATATAATGCTTGTTCTTGGATTTAGATAAATATGATTTGCTCTATTAAGGAAATTAACATTTATTCCTGTGATTTCTAGAATTTTTAATAGAAATGACTGTTCTGTTTTGTCAAAAGCCTTTTCAGCATCTTCTGATGTAATCACATTATTTTATTTATATTATTAACATGGTTTATTATATTTATAGTCTTCCTTATGTTGAACCAACCCTGCATTCATGGTATAAACCCACTATGGTCATAGTATATAATTTTTCTGATATGCTGTTGTAGACTATTTGCTAATATTTTATTTAAATTTTGGTATCAGTGCTCATTAGAGATATTGGTTTGTAGTTTTCTTTCTCTGATTTGTCTCCCTGGTTTAGGTATCAAGACCGTATATGAAAGAGATTGGAAGGCCTTTTCTTATTATCACAAACAGCTTATGTAGAATTGGAATTTTAATGAATGTTTGATAGAATTCACTTGTGAATTCATCTGCTCCTGAAGTTTTTACTTTAAGAGCTCATCTTTGTAAACTTCTTCAGAAATTGGGTTAGTTAAATAGGCTATTCCTTCTTTTGTTAATTCTGGGTTTGTTGAAAACAAATAAAATAGTCTTTGCCTTTTTAATTATTCTTATCAAGTCTTCCAGAGTCTCTTCCCTTCTCAGGATTGCTACTAATGGTAGCTATAGCAACCGTAGGAGTCGTAGATAGAGAGCTAGACGGGGCCTTAAAAGTCATCTAATCTACCCCACGGCCCCATTTGCAGATGAGAAAACTACAGTAACCAGATCAAAGTCACAGAGTTAGAAAATGGGAGAGATGGGATTTGACCCCATTAATTTGGGTTCCTCTGTGTAATACAGTGGAAAGAACATAGGAGGCAGAAGACTTGGGTTCAAATCCAGTGCCACCACTGTCTCCATCTGTGGACCCTCAGACAAATCACTTAACCACTACATGATTTCTTTAAATTTTTTAAATTCTATGCTAGGTAACCCCTTCTCCTGCCCCCATAAACCATGCTAGGCATACTGGAAATGTGGGCTGATTATAATGCAATTAATTTTGAATTTTAATTAATTTTTAAAATATCAATTTCATAATGTTTTGTAGTTTATGTTCTTATTAAGTACATTTCACTTTTCCCAATCTGATAATCTTATGCATGTAGGTAAAAATAAAATTGCAGCCTCTCACAATCAGCAAAATAAGAAACTGTATATTTACATAGAGGTGGATTGATGTTGCCAAGCAAAGGCATCTGGATGACTAAATTTGTCACTTCTCTCCAAATGTTGTGAGCATTGTCTAGATAGAGTCTGTTTTAGGCTCTGGAGTGATCAGCCTCTCTAGCTCAAATGAATATTTGAAAAAAAAATTCAGACTAAAAAACAAAGAAAATAAGTAAAAAATTTTGTAAACAAAATGAGTTCTTCAGATTTGTTCTCTATGTGATGACATTTTTATCATTATGGTTATTATTCCGGACTTGTCACTGTGTGTAGATTAGCAATTTGTCTGTAATTTGTAGTCAGAGATTTTCCTGGCACTGAGAGATTGAGTAATTTATCCAGAGTCACACAGACAACATCTGTCCGAAGGAGGACTTGTTCCAAGGCCAGTTCCAAGGCTGACTTTCTATTTACTATTTTCTATTTACTGAGTCCTTCTGGTGATTTTTAAAGCCTTTATATTTATATTTAAAGCTTTTATATTTGCTTCTCAAAAAAAAAGTCCTTGTCTCATTTAAAAGTAGGATCCAGATATGTTTAATGTAGAAATC